GGTGCAAGATATGGGTCCAATTTAATTCTTTTGCATGGGGAGATCCAGTTTTTCCAACACCATTTATTAAAGAGGCCATCCTTTCCCCCATTGTATATTCCTGATTCCTTTGTCAAAAATTAGTTGACTTTGTATGTGCAGGTTTATTTCTGGGCTCTCTCCTCTCTTCCGTTGGTCTATGTGTCTGTTTTGATGCCAGTAGTACTCCATATTGGTTTCATTAATGTAACTTTGTAGTGTAGTTTGAAGACAGGAAGTTTGATGCCTCCAGCTTTGTTCTCCTTGCTCCAGATTGAGCTATTCAGTGTCTCTTGTAGTTCCATATAAATTTTAGATTTTTTTCCTATTTCTGTGAAAAGTGTCATTGTAATTTTGATAGGGATTGCATTCAATCTGTAGATTACCTTGGGTAGAACGGACATTTTAACATTATTAATTCTTCCGACCAATGAACATGAGATATCTTCCCATTTATTTGTGTCTTTGATTTTTCTCATCAATGTTTTATAGCTTTCAGTGTTCGGATCTCTCACTTCCTTGGTTACATTTATTCTTAAGTATTTTATTCTTTTTGTTGCTATTGTCAGATTGTTTTATTAATGTCTTTTCCAGATAATTTGTTACTGTGTAGAAATGCAAAACTGATTTTTGTATGTTGATTTTGTATTCTGAAACTTTACTGAATTCACTTACTAGTTTTTACAGTTTGTTTTGGTACAGCCTTTCAAGTTTTTTTTCCTTTTTTAAAAGATTTTATTTATTTATTTGACAGAGAGAGATAGTGAGAGCAGGAACACAAGCAGGGGGAGTGGGAGAGGGAGAGGGAGAAGCAGGCCTCCCGCCGAGGTGGGAGCCCAATGCGGGGCTCGATCCCAGGACCCCGGGATCATGACCCGAGCCGAAGGCAGACATTTAACAACTGAGCCACCCAGGCGCCCCAGCCTTTCAAGTTTTCTACAGATAAGATCAGTTCATCTGCAGACAGAGACATTATTTCTTCCTTTCCATTTTGGATGCTTTTCAATTCTTTTTCTCACCCAACTGCTCTGGCTAGGACTTCCAGTACTATGTTGAATAAAAGTGGAGCGAGTGGGCACCCTTGTTTATAATCTTTTTTATTTTTTTAAAGATTTTATTTATTTATTTGACAGAGAGATAGAGAGCCCAAGTAGGCACAGTGGCAGGCAGAGGGAGAGGGAGAAGCAGGCTCTCCGCTGAGCAGGGAGCCGGACGTGGGGCTCGATCCCAGGACCCCAGGATCATGACCTGAGCCGAAGGCAGCCGCTTAACCGACTGAGCCCCCCAGGTGCCCCACCCTTGTTTATAATCTTAAAGGAAAAGATTTTGGCTTTTCAACGTTGAGTATGATGTTAGCTATGTGCTTTTCGTATATGCCTTTTATTATGTTAAGGTATATTCCTCTACTTAATTTGTTACAAACTTTTTATCATAAAAGGATGTTGAAGTTTGTCAAATACTTTCTGCATTTATTGAGATTATATGATTTTTATCCTTTGTTAATGTGGAGTATTACATTTGCATAAATTGAGTCATCCTTGTATCCCAGGGATAAATCCAATTTAATCATAGCGTAAAACTTTTAAGGTGCTGCTGAATGTGGTTTGCTAGCATTTCTTCGAGGATTTTTGCATTTATGTTTATCAGTCTCCAAATATTTAGAGAAAGTTCTGCCTCAATTGTTGAAATGCTGTATCATACACCCAAAACTAGTACAACACTGTATGTTAACTACACTGGAATTAAAATTTTCAAAAATTGAAAAAAAAGAGCAAGTTCTATCTGGAAGTGGAAGATAGAAGTGGGTGTTGTTACCAGCAGTGTTGGGTTGTGAGGGGTTTCTTGCCAGCTTCAACCGTCCTCAAGGGGCAAAAACTAAGGCCTGAACTCAATTGTGGAGTTTTTAGAAAATAGGATTTGAGGGGCGCTTGGGTGGCTCAGTCGTTGAGCATCTGCCTTCGGCTCGGGTCGTGATCTGGAATCCTGGGATCAGGTCCGCATTGGGTTCCCTGCTCGGTGGGAAGCCTGCTTGTGTTCCCTCTCTCGCTGTGTCTCTCTCTGTCAAATAAGTAAAATCTTTAAAAAAAAAAAAAAAAAAGAAAGAAAATATGATTTGACTTCTGGGCATGAGTCCAAGGCATTTGCTGAAACCTCAGCATCAGCTTTGCCTCAACCCATCTCACACGATGGTATTTGAGACAAAGCTCTCATGACCCTTACAAGGCTCAGGAGGGCAGGGGTAATTATAACCAATCTTTTTTTCTATACGTACTTTCTGAATAACTGCACATATCCTATGGATGAGTTAGTAGTTAATGTTTAATAGTAGTAGCTCCCCTTTGTTCTAAGCCTTCCCTGCTTTGAAGCTCTTTGATGAATATGTCTGATAAGATTTTCAATAAAAACCATGTTTAAGCCTGTGCAGCTGCTTTTCTCCTCTGGAGGCAGTCCTGCATGTCTGCTCAGTATTAAGTCTGAGTGTTTTATTTTCAGTGCGTGGTGACACTCAATCCCATCCTCAGCATATGGCTGGACAGATACCCCCTAGTGGGCCATGACCTCATAGCAAGTATTTTAGGTACCTGAAAAGTAAAAGCATTATAAAGTTTACTGTATAAATTTAAAATAGTTTGATTAAAAGTTATAAAGCATGCATATAAATTTTATTAAAAACTGGAAAGGACAACAGCAGAGTCATGTAAGTAATGAGGATTTCAACTCAAAATAACTATAAAATACAAAATATGTGAAAAATAGAGTAGGTGGGATGAATAACATAATGGATACAACTAGCTATGAATTAAAATGCTGTAAGTTCAGATCACAGGATGCTTTAAAAATCTAAAAACATTTAAAAAAATAAGGGACATGAACACAGAATCTGTGAATAAGGAAAATTTAGTGAGACAAATACTTATAAAAGAATAACCCATAACCTACTGTACTTTCAGGGATCATTTCTATAGTTTGTCACATTAAAATAAAGTATCACAGAATAAAGAAAATCTTGCAAGCTGACAACAAGAAAAAAATAGATCACTTTAGAACAAAAATGGGACTGAGCCATGAATTTTGATCCAAAGCCAGTGGATGTAAGTCTAGAAAAATAGCTCTTAAAAATGAAGTGATAAACTTTAATTCAAGATTTTTTTTCTATGTGATGTATTCATAATAAAAATGTCCAAGATGAAACTATTGTGCTAAATGAAGTAAGTCACAAAAGGACAAATGCATGATTTCTCCTATACGAGGTTTCTAGAGTAGTCAAATTCATAGACAATAGAGATACAAAGTAGAATGGTGGTTTCTGGGTGTTGGGGGGAGTGAAATTGGGAAGAACGTGTTTAATGATACAAAAATATGTTCAGTTGGGGAAGATGAAAAAGTTTTGAAGATGGATGGTGATGTACTTAATAATACATGTGATGGTTGATTTTGTGGGTCTACTAGGCTAGACCATGGCATCCAGATATTTGGTCAGACATTATTCCGGATGTTTCTTTCAAATGCTTTTTGAATTAACATTTAAATCAGTAGACTTTGAGTAAAGCAGATTACCCTCCGTAATGAGGGTAGGCTTCAACCACTCAAAGGCATTAATAGAAAAGCAGTAACCTGCATAAACTAGAAGGAATTTTGTCTGCTGACTGCTTTGGGCTTGCCCTGCAATTCTTTTTTTTTTTTT